AGGTCTATTTTATTCTGATTATCAGATCCAAATTTTGTAGTTTCCTATGCAGAGCCGAGATATTATGAATTCTCCCACAGATCTATAAATAAACCTAACTAGGTACTTGTTCTGTGCAAAAATATCCACGAAATTATGCCTGCCCGAGACGGGTTTCGGCGGCAATCGTGAATCGCGGCGCCATTTTGAATTTTTAACTTTTTTTTTCTTTCGAAACCTCAGCCTTGAACGCAAGTGGCACCGCCCGAAGCGACGAAAAATTTTTGCAAAAACGAAATTATTATACGTTATTTTGCGGTTATCCTTTGTATTTTTTTCGTGTGCTTTTGTACGCGAGTGACAGTTGGCCGATACACTGTCAAATTATGGATGGCTTATGTCATAGTTCTTCAACCAAATTGGGTTTTGGGGTTAAATATAACAAGTGTGCGGTTTCTTTGTTAATTTAAGTTCTCTCTACAGATAACTGGGGCAATGCTTTTTTAGTATTTGGTCATTTAAAATACACATCACAGTCACATCCCTTCCTTAAAGTAACGGGAAAATAGGTATTTGTGTCTGATATCTAGCTATATTCTTTCAAACTACTTGCATAATATGCCATGCCATGTTTTTTTGCTTTAATACATCTAAGACTCGTTTGAAAACCTTTTTAAACGATGATTTTGCACTAATGATAAGTGTTTAATGTTATTGAAAATTATTCCTTAAGTTATTTGAGTATGCCGTAATAAATATAGGTACACAGCAAGCAGGATTTTCAATAACCGTCTCTCCGTACTTTGTAAATAAAACAAAAGACGTCAACAAATGAAAGAAATTTATTGTATACAGGTTTAAACATCCTCGCACATTCGTACCTGCCTAACCAGCCATTTCATTAAGATTATAACGTAAAATATAAACGTCTTAAGGTAAAGGTATTACATAATATGAAAAAACATTTCTTCGCTTCGAAATTACGCAAGATACATAGTTATACGTAAAAAAGTATACACAGTCGTGTACAATTCCACACTCAAATCAATTTTGGTCGCCAAGCGACGTTTTTGGACGTCAATACAATTTTAACATTACAAAAGACCACTCGAATCCTTAAGCTTAGCTTTCCGAAGATTTTTTCTAAAAATTTGACTAGATTCAATACAATTTTCAGCCAATTCTGTTTCGCCAATGTCGTTTGTGTATAGAAATAAAAACCACCACTATTCTTACTGAGGAAGTCCGCGATATATATCTATATAATAGAAATAAAAGTGCCGCCCCGTAGCGTACGTCATCTGTAATTAAACAATAAAAAACTAAAGGAACAAAATAACAAATAAAGGCGTGTTATGTATATTGAAAAAATATTTCATTAAAACTTGTACATATTCAATAATTAAACAACAATATTATAATTTGATCATGTTAGTTCCTTTCGTTAGAATATATTAAAAAAACATGAGCTTTCAACAGTTCCTATCTTAAACATTGGTCCATTACCTAACTCATATTTATACCCAATCACAAATTATATCTCCTTCACAAAAGACAACATTAAACGAAGAAAAAGTTCCTCAGCAATGTGATGTGTATATTTAAGCGTTGAAATTAAATACACAATGAAAATATCTTGAATTTTACACTATAAATTCAATAGAGTTAACATTATATTTAATATGTCTAAAATTAAATGCTTTGTGTTGTACATAATTTTTAAACGTGGCAATACACGCCCGCTGTCTGTCGCCGTCATTACAAAAACCTTTCATCGCACGATTATTCTAATGTATAAAGTATTGTAATAATAGTACAATAGTTTTGTTTAAAATTAAATTTCTAGAAATACATACAGTTATAAATGGAAAACAATTAGAGAAGCCTACGATTACAAAGAAAACATAACCTTACTTGTCGCCCTCCAACCGGAGACGGGCAACACTTAAAACTCGCATTTCGTATAATCTGCGGTTGAAAAGCGACATTTATATACAAGGTACAGTCACACAAACGAACAACATGTGTTTAAGAATGCTTAGAAATAAGATCTGGCAATGTCTTTTAAGTTGAAAGGGCGATCCTCGTTCGCTTTCGCCGACCGCGGATTGGCAATTTCATAGACACGATTTCTCCATTTGACACGTGTCAAGGGATTGTTGGTCAATTGTCACAGCACGGTAAGCTCGCACAGATAACAAACGAGGATCTAAGAAATGCGTATTACTTTAAGATTGCACACAGACACCACCTTGCATCTATCAATTAAATTTGAAAAAAAAATGCATCTTCCTTTCATTGTCTTTTTGTTCCTGGAACGGTCGTCGACCTCCCGAGACTAAACCTAACCCTTACAGAATTTAATACGAAAAAAGAATTAACAAAATATTAAACTCCTACCGCCTAACTCTTAATCGAATGTTACATTACAATATCAACTAAAATTCTTAGTAACTACGTGGAAAAATGATGAACAATATACAATAAAAACGATTCACTAAGAAACCAGTGACCTCTTGCGGGGAAAATTGAGAACCAATCGTTTGCAGGTCTTTTTCGTTTCAAGATGGAAGAGGCGTTCGGAGATCACTGACATAACATAATTAAACCGTAAGGCGGCGTATACCATTTGTACAGACCGGCCCGCGCCAAAAGCACTAGGCAATTTCTACTAGATATCAGTCGCAACTCTCTTTTATCGCATTGGCATCGAACCCCAAACTGCACAAAACAATGACATGTTTAACATCTCAATATAATATAATATTATAATATAAGGTTATTTAGAAATAAAGCCGCTTAAAAATTAACTAACGTTACAAAATAAGATTATAAACAACATAATGATTTGTTCCCGATGCGCGAAATATTTATAATAACTAATTAAAAAATCTATTAACATTCTAACCGGAATGTCTTTTTATATATACATTCTCTTTGCAAAGTGTCCCTTCCTATTTCTGTACAAACTTATACAAAATAACCTTTTTTTAAAACTAACAACAAATGTCTAGCGTTGCACAGGCTTACGTACGTATTGAAAAACTTGTTCGAATTTTCGGAAGTCGTATTCTTGAGAAACTCGAAATGAAACTCGTGAGATGTACGGGGTCATGGATTTTGTTATCTGTGGGATATTTAGATCTATTCAACATAGTGAAACAGACCTATAACATACTCTAATTGGCTATCAAAATAAACCAGAGATTATGGTGAGATAAGAGAGAATGTAATTATCGATTTTATACAGGTCTTAAGCCTTTTTAACAAGTGACAAGATCCATGTCCGCCGCAAAAAACACGCAATGTTAGAGACAAAACACCAAGAATTTAGTTTAGATATTTTCGTGCAATTTTCATTCTGAATTTTCTCACACGAAATGCGGTCTGGTGGGCTGAATTTAAAATAAATGCATAATATCAATCAATCAATGCGGTGGTTGAATTGTGAAATCAAAGGGCTAAATGATGCTCTCGACTAGTAAATTTTGAATATAAAAATTTGTCCTTTCCTCTATAGAGCCTTGTTCGACATCTCGGCATTGGATATGTATGGCGATTCGGTTAACTCCCCCTTTTCAACTGAACGATAATTTTGTCCCCCCCTAAAGAAAGTGTAGGCTATGTCGAAATGTCGATTAAAAACTCCTTAATCTATTTTTACAATCGTGGTCTCCGAAGAAAAATGTACGACAATAATTTTTAACTTGTATATAATATATGTATAATTTAGTTACATACACAATACAAAGACTTCTTAATTTTGTTGAGGCTCACATTTACACGTAACTTACATTAAGTAGTCGTATGATAATTTATATCCAAATAGTATTTACCTAAAGTTATCTTGGGAGAGCGTATACATTTCACATTTTCATACCTCCGTAATATATTTTCGATTGAACACCAAAAAATGTCACAAATTTGAAGATATCCATTTTTTTGAGGTTTTCTCTTTGCGCTAATTTTAAAGTTGACAAGAATATATTAATGATTATTCATACTTTTGTATAGTCGATAAAACATTTAAAACTTGGACCATGAAAAATAAGAATATATCTCCTTACGATACAATAATAGTACATAAAATATATATATAAGTTCACTAGTATGTATTCATGTACGCATTGTGAGAGGCAAACCGCACTCCTATTCGTAATACCTAAATATCACATTCAGTAATATGGGAATCCACGTGCTAGCTTAGACACAGTTAAAATTACTATTTTTTACAAAATAATAATTGCACATAAGTCCGAACTTAGCTTTCTCGAAGCTCACAGAAGTACGTCTGTCCCTCTCGCACCTATACTAGCCCGCCGGGTAGAGAGAGATAGTGTGACCGTTCCCGCCATAGCTAATAATTTCATTCAATATATTACCTATCTAATTATAAAAACATCGCACAAAATCCGCGATTTAATTCACTTATTAACATTTACACTCATAGCTAGCTTTATAATTAATTTGTTACATTGTTTTATTACTTAAAAATATTTAAATAGTTGATTTTATAACATTAACTTTTGGTTGTCTTTTACTTAAAACAATTTCAAAAATCGAGGTTCTTGGATTTGGGTCAATTTCGGACAACCTGCTGTCGCCGCGCACGGTCTTATTCTGGATTCGCACGCGACCGGACCAGCCTGATAGTCATTTCTAGAACGCCATTCCACCGTAACACAAACTTCTGTATCGTATTCGAGATCAGAATAACACCGCGCGCCGCGAATTCGTATTTCGTAGCCAACGACCTAACTGTCATGGGCGTCTAACACTATTTAATTGTGATATTGCATTAGTAAAGCTGTGTCATATTGAACCGGTTGTGACTTTAGGTAACTATTGTGATATTTGGTGATACACGTGAACGCCGGGCTGGGGGAAGCGGAACTACTAACGCATAAATGCACAAACGAATCCCGTAAAAAAAACTTTATTGTCACTACAACAGTATACACGAGCGCCGGGGGCCGGCTACGGAATGTACTTTAGATTATTATCACAAGCGGTGAGGTCGGCTAGGCGGTGTGCGCCGGCGCTTGGCTCGGCGCCTCGGGGCTGGAGACGCGGCCGGGGGGCGTCGGAGTGCCGTTCCGCGGTCGCAGCTTGTCGGCGCGCAGCCGCTGCACCGCTTCGCGCATCTCCGCCGCGAGCTGGTGGTCCGAGTCCAGCCTGGGACGCCGGGCCACCGGCTCGTCGTCGGGTTCTCCGGCGAGCCGCCGCAGTAAACTGGGCGCTTCCGCTCGCGGTTCCGCCGTCAGCCGCTGCAGCAACGCGGCTCCGGGCTGCTCCAGACTCGATCGGATTATGCCCTCTAGGAACGAACCGTTCGCCGGTGGAGGCGCTTCCCCGCGCAGCCTTCGCATCATGTGTGACGTGTACAGGTCGGAGGTCGGCGGGGGGGCGAAACCGGTTCGCGGCCAGAACGGATAGCTTGGGGGGTAGCCCTGCGCATCGGGGCCGTTCAGGCCGTTAGTGAAGGGCTTCGTGGGAGGTTTCGGTGGCGGTTTTGGCGGTTGAGGTTTAGTGTCTTGCGGCGGTTTCGGCTCCCTCTTCCGGGGCCGCATCAGATGCCGCTCCTTCACCTTGTACTCGAGGGTCGAATGCGGCACTCCGTAGTAGGAGCCCGCTCTGTGCACGGACATCTCGCCTCTCTGGACGGCTTTCACCGCTTCGACGAGACTATCTCGGTCGTAGTTCCTGTATTTGCCCCGTTTGGGCCTCGTGCCCTTCCCGCCGGTCGCCGGCTGCCCGTTGTTGGTGGCCTTGGAATTGCTCGGTATCGCATAGTTCCTCTGGTTGTCCGGGGGCGTCTTGATCACGGAAACGTGCCTGTCGGGCGCTCTCATGTACGACAACTCCGCTTGCGATGGCCTATCTAGAGGCTGTTGGAACTTTTGGCTTATGCTCTTGGCTATGACGTCACTGAGAGACGTGAACAGGTGTTGCGGGGCAGGCGGGTCTGCGAACACAGATGGCGGAAGTAGTAGTTGTGAGGGAGGATTGAGAGACGGTTGCGGAGGTAATATCGGGGTTATCGGAGTCACCGGCGTGGTGACGGGCGTAGCGGGCGAAGGACTCTTATCGTCCGGGGGTGGAAACGAGGGAATCTTGAGAATCACCGAGGAGGGCGTGTCCGGTTTCTCGGGGTCACTGTCCTCTGACTCCGGGGCTTCCGGTGCCAGGCCGTGTTTGTTGACCTTGTTCCTGAGGGTGGATCGCGGGATGCCGTAGACGGCGGCGGCTCTGCGCGTTCCTAGTCTGCCGGACTGTATATCCCGAAGCGCAGACTGGAGCTCGTCCTCTGTGTAATTGCGCCTCGTGGTGCTATTACTCGTGCCCTCGAGAACTGCGCGTTTTAATCTGAAACAATGTGTACATAGGATTATTCACTCGTCCAACAAAGTGGTCTTTAGGGACAACAGTTGCGACTTAATAATTTCGACCTCGTTTACACTTTGTCTGTTTCGAAAACAAAAGACGCCGAATGACGCATTGCCATAACGAAACGACGCGGTCTTACAATGTTTGAATGTGTATTTGCTTAATTCATTCAACCCGGCGCAAAAAGTGAATCACGCCGTATATAGGTCGACAACTGGTCAACGGACGGCAATCGCTCTCATTTTAAAACATAATTCAATATTTCAAAACAGTCCACATTAAAGCGAGATAAGGCGAAATGCGAAATATTTACTCGTCCACCCGATAACGGTCCGCTATGAATGCATCTTTATCTTTTTCCATTCGTCTTTTATTTGCCGTACTCCGTCGAATTTGAGCGTTGGACCTCGATTATACGGCTTAAATTCCGTCGTGTCGAATCGAGAGTCTTCGGTTTCATCTTGCGTTTTACTTTCTTATTTTTCGCGATCGCCGCCGAGGGATATCGGACCTTAGCGATTTGTATTTGGGTCATTTTTTCCGCGGCGCTCATCGGTCGACGCGAGGATGCAAGGTCGATGCACCGCCGACTATCGATGGCTTTTTATTTGTTTTGGCGAGTCATACGACCCACATCGCGGTCCCCGAATGAATTTATTCAACTATCGATTTGATATTGCGCATAATATCAACGCTGGAATCGAGACACCGTCTTCGCAACGAGATTCTTTGAGATCGGGAGACATTTAGATGTAACGAGCGTCCGGCGGCCGATGGTGCATACCGTGTAATGATGTACGGCTTTTGTTGATGTTGACGGATGAGTACATTTACGAACTCAATTATGGTGAAAAGTTTTCGATCGATCTACCCATTGAGCTGGATATATTGTTCTGTTTGTATACATATAATAAAGGTATTATGTATGTTTAGTGTGGTATCATTTTCCAGAAGAGTTTAAATTTTTGAATACTTGAAAGATGTTTTATTTCTTATTGCGAAATATTGATGGTATCTAAAAGCGAAATTCCGTTGTCTTCCGTCAGGTTTGGGGCGAACACGTTTCAGTGTCCTCTAAACTGATCAGTTCTTTTAAGTCTGTGGTCTGCCCCGGCCGAACTATTGTTTCTCTAGGATTCAAACCCAGGCCCTCACGCACTTTATTCAATACTCGGCAACACGTTTAACCATTTGGCTATGGAGGTGAATTAATAGTAGTAGTATTTACAGTTAATGATATTATAATTAAAATGTTCTGTTGTAAAAGTCTTTAATTTCATCTGACTTTTCTCTCTTTTCGATTTGTTTGTAATGTTATTCTAATCGTACTTCGTCTAAAGTGCGATGTTGAACGTTAAATAAGAAAAATATAGACTTTAGAGTTATACATATATGTATCTTAAAATTTACTGCCCGACACATGATACGTAGCTTTAAAACAGCAGTTATAAGTTAAGCTGCATAAGCTTAAACGATGAAAATGTACTTCAATTAAGCGGACAGTGTGTCAGGCAAAAATAATTTTCGCGAAAATCGCAACAGCGCGAGGAAAATGTATTCGCCTACGTTTCTTGCGGAGCGTGGAAATTTTTTACACGCCCCGTCAAGTGGGCCATTGTTAGTTCACACTATCTTCTAATGTCTAGTTGTGTCGCGCGACTTTTTCTATTTTCCTCTCCTTTATGAGGCTGCCGCATTGACAGATTGTACCTAACTATCCACCTACTGTTGTCTGAAAAACGTTTTCCTTTTGGAATTTTCTCACGAAACTCTCTTGATTTAGTTTATTACTCTACAGAAATTCAACATTTGACGGGTCGTGATTACGAACCCAATATGATTAGCGTCTTTCTAAATACCGTCCGGAAAAATTTGGACATTTAATGAGTGTGTAAAGTTGTCAAGTTTAATCAAGTAGCCTGTTTAGTCTGTAGATTTTCCTATATCCAAAATTGAAATAGGTTAAAGCGCAGCAATCTTGTCCTCATGTCCTCAGTTCGAACTAAATTAGGTGTAAGTTTTTCTTATGATAGAAGACGACAAACAAGCGGTTCACTCGATGGAAGGTAAAATATAACCCGACATAAAACATCACAACAAGATGTACTGTCGAATTTTTTTGGCTTTGGGTATTATGAAATCTACAAACCGAAACGCGATTAAAATTCACGCCGTTTTTATCTGTGGTGGTCCGATATTTCTACCACCTATTTAAAAGCCAGATATCCAGACGAAGTTCAAATGTTTTACAAAACTTATAAATTGATTGGAAATGTCGGACCTAGTGGGGTTCGAACCCACGATCCCTTGAACATTAACCATACATAGCTACCATAACACTATTACATTTCGTGTGAATTGAGGCCGCTAGAGACAGAGTAGCCTAACTGCAATTTCATGACTTGACTTATTCGTATTTTCATTAAAATATTAATCTTAGCACAGTAACAAAAAATTGTTAACATAATTCTTACACAAATAATAGTATTCATTTTTAGGCCACTCTGTCGCTAGCAGCCTCAATTTATAATTAGATATTTGCGTAGACGTGAATTATTCACGGGTAGGTCTTATCAGCGAACAAATATAATGTCTCGAGTGATAAGTGATTTCTTTCACAAGTGATTTGTCACAGGCCAACGACACGACACCAGTTCCTTCACATTCAATATTTACACGACATAATTTCACGAATATCATGAGTTGTTTCACCTTTGTACCTTGTATTGTTGCAAAATAATATCCACTGTACAAATATATATTTATACATAATAAAGACTATCTTGTGCGACTTGAGACGATACACGGCCGCCGTGACGTTATATAAGAGAAGATATCACTTCAATCTACGAAACTTATGTCTTTAAAAGCCCGTTAGTGGTTACAACTATTTTTTTGTATCATGTTCGGACTTTCTAGAAAAGCATAGTTAAAGAGTGACTATTGCACTATGCAGTGATGGATTTTTATTTTCGGGCAAGTAGCTTATCAGGTAACGAAATTTCTCGATACGAAAAAATTGTTCCCTCAACTTTTGTGTTTGTTACAGTATAATTCAAAAACGTCAAGAAAAGTGTGTCCATAACAACGAGCGGTCCTCCCTGGAGGTGTCAATATTACGTCAATGCAAGTGGATATTTTTGTATAGTTGACGGGTTTGTTGGTGTAATTCGAACCCCATCGGGTCCAATATTTTTCTAAATAATTTTACATTCCCTGAAGCATGTCAGACTTCGTCTGTTAATCTGGATATTAAATGAGTGGTAGGAATTACAAAGTCCCTCCGGGTCATGAACCATCGTCCCCGGATGAAAAAGCCGCGTTTAAACGCGGTTTCAGTCTGTGGATTTCCGAATATCCTAAGTCAAAATGCTTAGGGTATTTTATATTATTGTCCTCTCTCATAAAAAAGTGACCAAACGCATGTTTCTTTTTAAATATTTAAACGCAAGAACGAGAGATGAAGATCGTAGATAAAACTGTAAATTTTGAACTCGATTACAACGAAAAAATGTAAAAACATTGGGCGCGTACATTAAAGCCATTTGAAACACTCAGCGTAGACATAGCGCCTTTTACTGGAATGTTATTTCTCGTAACAGCCCTCCCCCTACTGCTTTTGGCGACGGGCCTGCTCTCTGTGCCAATTTTCACACGTTTTTATGCATCTGATAACGTTAACACATTGACGTTTGCACATTCGGTAAGTTGAGTACAAATTCTGTTAAGTTAGTAGTTAGTAGCGAAATTAGTAAGTTACAGCTTCGAATGCCTAGAAAACAACAATTCATGAAGTTTTACATGTCTAACTAATTTAAATAAAACACTTTAACGGATAAACGCGATATATTAGTAAACTTATTTGAAACGAATATATCGCGTCTTAGACCGTTGAAATGTTTTATTTAAATGTGTACTACTCGCGTAAACTATAGACAGTACTTAATGTCTTACTAATGCCTACTACCTATAACTATACTAATTTTATAAAGCTGAAGAGTTTGTTTGTTTGTAACTAGAGTAACAGCACGGAACGCTGACGATGCCGGTTCAATTCCTGCCCGAGTCGAAAATTTTTTCAATTTATTTTTGATTTTTAAATTGTAACTAGTGGTTCAAATTGTGTTGGTTTTGAACATTTATCGAGGATATCTTTATATAACATCACGATGCAACAAAACAAAACAAGCAATAAAACAAAGTATAAGTTAACTATTTTTGTGTAAGAATTATGTAAACAATTTTCGCTCACTATGCTCCGGGAGGGCGTAGGGTAGTTTTAGAGTATAGAAATATAAATAACTCAAGTCGTGAAATTGCAGTTAGGCTACTCTGCTTCTAGTGGCCTCAGTCCCTAGAGTCACCATGTGTTTATAGTCAAATCTGCCGAGCTAACGCTAACGTTTATTTGAAATACAATATATTTCTACCAACACTTCCCTTAACCCAAAAGTTGTTACGAAGGAAGAATGAAGGAACAAACTTGTCGGGAAACGATTCGAATTTGACACGGTCAACTGTTATATGAAGCACATATTGAACATAATTCCTTAGCCTTGTAGCACACTGCAAGCTGCTAATCCTAACCAATATCGCGTAGAGTTTTGCCTATATAATATACAAACATACAGCTTATCTGAAATTAATTGGGTAATATCGAAAAATCCGTGCAAGTTACCAACCACCGTCCTGTCACCGTCATGAAAATACCGTCAAGTTTAATACTAATAACAATCCAAAGTTTAGTAATAATCCACAGATTGTAACCGAAACGCGATTAAGCTTTTTCACCTGCGGACGGTGGTTCGTGACCCGGAAGGAATCTCTATATTCCCACCACCCACTTAATATCCAGATTTCCAGATGAAGTCCAACATGTTGATTATCAGCCATACATTGCTACTTAGATCAACGAACCCTTCGTCCCAACACTGATATTGGGCGGCCTTATCAGAGGGTTCTATCCCAAGCTGACGCTGAGCTTCTCGGCGTGGTGGACCACACGCGTTAGCCCAGCATGGCGTGTCGTTTCCTATTGAAACATTGCACCCGGATCGCACAAACAATGCCATGTGAATGCACCCATTAACTATGAAACTGATGAGGTTCATGAACCTGCTTCTGGGACGCTGGATTCGTTGATTTATTGGTGCCAATCCTGACGTCCAGAAAAACAAGTTCCGTCTTGTTTATAATGTCTGTTAATTTTATACTACTCTGTGACAGCTACTTCGTCTCTACACATAGTTATTTTGGAAATAAAAATTGGTACTCGCGAACCTCATCCTCATCTTTATAATTTTCTAGCCGTGTCATTGACTTCGTCCGCGTCGCATAGTTATTTTGTACATCCAAATTTTTGGTTTTTACAAACCTTCTCCACGTCTTTATAAATTAAACATTTTACCCACGACGTCGGTCGCGTGTCGTCGCCGCAAGTTAATCTTTAAAGATAGACATATATTTTTTTTGGTTTCAGGAGGTATCATTCTTTCGTACATATTGTTTGGTTACTTCAAACCGTTCTTGCAATCAAACACAAAAATGAAAAAAAATATTTTTCAGTTTTTCCTACGATTTGTACTGAATTCACTGAATTCGTACTGATTTCAACTCTCTACATTGTAAAGAAAATGGGGAAGCAAAATTTTAATTTAAAAAGATTTTTTTCAAATTAGTTTTTTGTTATTTAGCCTGTACTTGTACACTCAAAGAGATAACTACTGAAAGCCAAGCATTTTGATATTAAGCGATTAACTTACATGTTTCTACGACACGTAACAACGACCTTTTAAAACGTATTACGTCCCCAGTCGGTTCGCGAATATTTTAACACCCGCTAATCGAATTAACTAAGTGGATTACATTAGGGTCGACCTCAATGCAAATGCTATCGTTGGTTCGATCACCTAATTTTATTTCCAAGGTCTGTTTACGGTGCTATACCTACTGCGTATTATGTGGGCTAGTGCTTTAGAATTTTCAAATAAACATTTCGATTTGATTCGGTTTTTAAAAGTAAGTTCTTAATCATGTTTTATGACCAAGCAATAAGTCGTAGGATTCCAATGTAGTCTTGCTTCTAAATAGTTCTAAAATTTTCTACAACATTCTTAAAAGAGGTATCCCGTCCAGTTCAGTCCAGTGCAAACCATCTCTCATAGCCGGAAACGTTGTCTACTGTCTGTAGTTTACGCAAGTAGTACCTACTTATTTAAATAAAAAACAACGGTTTATTACGCGAAATATAATATACCTACGCCATCTTTAGTCTCCCGTGACCACTGCTGCTGTAACGCATCCAAAACGTCGGGCCGTAGTTAAAATTCAAATAATTTTATCTAATATAATTCGCGTTTTAAACCGTTAAAGTGTTTTATTCAAATGTGTACTGGTTGCGTAAACCGCATTCAATCTATCGTTTCCCTGGGATTCGAACCCTCTCGCGTTTAATGCCACGCCTTGGAGCCGATCGTAGAATATAGTTTCAATAAAAATGGAAAAATAGTCGCTTAACCTAAAAGAAGGTACCGAGCGACGTGTGATCTGGTTATCTACTGAATATGAAAGACGCGGTCATGCCTCAAGTGGCCACCTAACGTGTCGATCAAACGTAGATTTTTTAAGATCGATTTTCTTTGACACCTCACAAGGGTTCTAGCGCTATCTTGATATTGGATTTATCAGGTCTTATATTCATGGACCTTGTCTATCTACATGCTTTTTTACGATGGAGGATGACAACCTTGGGGTACACTTGATGGTAGGTGAATTACCCCTTAACATCTAAACAAGAAGCCCTGTCTACCTACTCTTGCATTAGATACTCGGAAAACTTTTCTTCGAAGCTTAGCTGAGCGCTGTTCTCGTAGGAAACATGGTTTACAGAGGAAAACCATCACGCTACTGCAGTTATAGATAAACGAGCTAAGCCATATATAAGCGCTGTCCACGTATTGTTACTGTTAATAGTCGGAAATTCACTGACTGAAACGCGATTACACCAGCTTATCAACTGTAGATTGAACAACTCAGACGAGATTTCTATATACCTATCACCCACTTAATATCCAGATTTTCCAAACGAAGTCCAGGTTATAATTTTAAAATAGAAAATAAATTGGAAAAATATTCGACTCGGGCAGGACTTGAACCGGCATTGACAGCGTCAGAGCAACACGGAACGCTGACGATGCCGGTTCAAGAGTCTGCCCGAGTCGAAAATTTTTTCAATTTATTTTCGATTTTTAAATTATATAGTGCCTTCATGTGAAATATATCAAGTTTACGAAGTCCAAGTTATAAATTAAAATTTAGATACATGTCGGAGATGGGAATCAAACCATTAGACCAACGACAAAACTTGTCGACGATAAAATTTCGCATTTGTTACTTACCTAGAATTCTCATGGCCCTTAATGTCAGGTGGTGGAGTACCACTCGTGCTGGATGTGGACTTCGCGCTGAGATCCAGGGGCTGTTCCGTGATGGTTGGGGACGAACTGGGGGCGCCGACCTTTTCAGCCTCTAGCCTAAAACAGAATTAACGTTATAGAATACAATACTAGAATACACCATAGTAAGCAAATTCTATGGGAAAGAAAGGGAAAAATGATTTTACCAAGTTGCCAGCTACGAACATACAAATATGAAGAAAATCTCGCAAACGGTGATAAAGGGAATTTCAGTTCCCCTCGTTGGGCTTGGGGCGGACTCACTATGTTCGTTTTACTGGTTTGACTTAAAGTATATGATCAGAAAAAAGTAAAAAAGTATATGTGCCTTGTCCAACCGAAACAATCTTGTGTTCAACCGAGATTCGAACGCAGGGCATATCCCATTAACACACTGCTTGCACGGTTTGCCTAATCGTTCAACCATTTAGCTGGTCAAGCAGCGGAAGCGTTGAATCTATACTAATATTATAAATGTAACTCTCTGTCTGTCTGGCTTTAACTCCGAAACTACTGAACTGATTTAAGTGAAATTTGGTACACAGACATTTTAGAGCCTGAGAATGCCAAAAAAGGGTCGAAAATGGGGATGAAACTTTGTATGGAAATTCGTGTCTTTGAACCTAGAAAAATTAAACTTTCTTCTTTGGCTTTTTGGAAATATGGGAATATGGGGAGTGGGAGTTAGAATAGGAGTGATGTAAGGTGAGAGTGTTGCGGCAAAGTAGCACTTACAACATAGATTGGCTGCCTTAAATGCGCCCTTACATAAATTAATAAACAGCCTAAATAACTAAAAATTCTACCCCAAGACACTATTCCACGCAGTATAGTCGCGAGCACAGCTTACTTATATCTTTTTCCTTATTATATTAGTAGGAAAGAATCTTTCGAATTCCTGTTACAAGACAGCGTCACCCCATTCAGTAAACGAATTTTTCGCTCTGCTAACCATTTTTATTTACAAACGTACCTACTACACGCGCAAACTTCAGATCACACTTGTTTAGGTAATGTTCATTCAAATGGGTTAAAAATAATGATTTTATAATTCATTGAAGATAACTAACTTTCTAAGTTGAATGCGAAACGATTATTTAGTCGTTAGGGACCTTAATTATTGACCTCTTATTACTGATAGTAGTGAGGCTGCTAAAGGCAGACTGGCCTAATAACAAGAAATACAAAAATAATATTGTACTATTGATAAGCTAAGTGCGAAGCTTAACTATAACAAATTTACTTTAGTATTAAAAAAATAAGCGTGTTTATGTTTATTTGGATATATAGTTTAAAACACACTTTTACTTGCACAATATTTTTAAGCGAATTCCTAAAGTGTGTTATAGGATAAAAGTTTTATTCCTATAAAACGTATCAATAATAAGTAAGTTAGTAAATCTTTAATTAGTGCAGTCGGTAATTGTAGAACGCATTGTGTTCAACAAAAAAAAAACCTTTAATTAGATCGCTTTGCACCGTAACACGATGACATGCATTTTCAAGTTAAAAACTTAATTAATTTAAACAGAATAACATTTTCCTGTTGAAATGATCACGACATCCGATAATAGATTAATTTAATTAACATAACGTTGCCTAGAAGTACAGTTTCTGAAAAACAACACAATTATTTTGTTAATCTATGCCAATATATAACACTGAAGATTTTGTTTGTTTCAGGAACTACGGGATCGAATTGAAAAAATATTTTTTGTGTTGCTTATAGCATTTATCGTGGTAGGCTCTAGGCATAGCGTTGCGTTGAAGGCAAGATACAGCGGGAAATGTGAACAGAACGGGGGAAATTTTTCATCTCTGTGGGTTTTAGATGCGTATGCTGCGAAAACGGTTCATGACACCTAATAAATATGAATGAAAGAATGATTCCTCTTTAAATGATCTAAAAAAATGTCCGTGTCACTTGTCATATGTCAGTAACTTGTAGAACGACGGGATTCGAGCGACGGGTCGCGAGCGATGGGACGCGGGTGTCACGGGCAGCTTAAATTTATAAAGATGTAAAGATGTTCGCAAAAACAAATGTGGATACCCAAAATAACTATTCTACGCGGACGAAGTCGCCGACAGAGCTAGTATTAACTATAACTATTTGGAGATTAAAAAACATTGTATATAAAATACGAATATACAATGGCTTTACAATATTTAATTAAATCTTTAAGAGTGTTTTATTTGGATTAAATGTGTATAATATGACACTAATTGAATAAAACACTTTTTAACGGATTAAGAAGCGGAATATATCAATTAGGTAACTTATAACAATTCATTTTACTATGGCCGACGTTTCGGATGTGGGGAATGAAGATGGACGGTATGTAAATTCAAACTACGCTAGCGCCATCTGTTTCCTCGTACTTGGTATTTGGACAAACAAGCTAGTTCCTTACAGAACTGACTCACGGTGTCCTCTCGTTTTTAGGAATCTATTGTTTTGAACAAACATGATAAGCTACAGATAATTAGATATTTAAATTACGATATTACCTGAAAGAAGAAAATTCCTTTTTGACAGGATGTTAAAAAATTTGGGTAGGTAGGTATTGTCATAATGTCATTTGTAATTCTAACGCCGTCGCGAGCGGACGCGTCGACATTTCAAAATTTCAAAAATGGAACTAATCACAAGTTGCACCAGCTCCTGAATAAGCATATCGACAATAGCTGAAAAGCGGTGAATACGGCATTCAGTGTCAGCAACAAAGCAGACGCGGTGTTATTGTCAATAGTTCTGATGTTTCTTGAGGAATATTGAAATTATTCGATGTTCGGTTGACGTGCGGTCTTTTGTCTGTATGTAGGTTACGTTGATACTGTGTCAATTTGACATACAGCTTATGGTAATATTTTAACACAGATTATATTTTAAAAAGGTAAAGGATATGTTTGGACATAAGTTGTTAGATATGAACTTATTTAGTTTTAGATTAAGTACTGTCTATAGTTTATCGAAGTAGTACTTTTAAATAAAACTCTTTAACAGTTTAAACGCGATATATATTAGTTTAATTAATTGAATTGAATAACGGCCCGACGTTTCGGGTGCTATGCAGCTGTCACGGAGGGAGAATAATGAAGTAAATTAAAATATTTCGTTTAAAACCGTCAAAAGTGTTATAAAAAACACGCACTATAAATGGCAGGTCGTTGAAAATAAACATCAAACTGCATGAAGCAACGTACAAGCCTGCCTCGACGCTAAGACGTGTATTGTGAGTAAATATGAATAGGATCGTCGATATTTATCCGAAACGGGAGGAGATTGTCGGCGACACATCCGCGACAGACGGAATCGATTCAATGCACGTGCTCATTTCGCTGCCTTCTTAAGGCATTGGAGCGTCTATACATCTCGGAATTATCTAGCGATGACGGATATTTTCGTACAATTCCAGAATTGGTGGAAATTTCTAAGGAATAGCGTAGTTTATAGATAAGTACGACGTTAGTAAGCAGTTCATATCTTTAAAACAATTGTTTTTTTTTTTCATCTATTGTTTAATTCAGACAGATATAAATATATCTCGAAGAGATAAATTAATAATAATAATTCAAACATAGAATTCATGATCAATTCAAATTAACCACGATATAATATAGTACTCACCCAGGGAGCCTTTTATCAGATTCTAGCTAAAAAATACTTTTATCTGACAGTGAACGAATAGAATATAGATCAATGCATTTTAGTGAAAGTGCACGAACTTTTATCAGAGATTTATATCAAGCATTCGACTTAATAGATTTGATCATGCACCCTATGATAATATGAATAACAAATGTCAAATAAAATAAGACCTACCAGCAAGGTTACGCTACGTTTTTTACTACCTACATATTAATGAAAATTTTAAAGGCTTCCTTAATTCGATAATAGAAAAACTTTTTAGATCTATCGGTAATTTCTTAATAACTAATTCTTCAAAGTTAATTTAGATGGATAAAAGATTTATTGCATTAACAACATTATCTTAAAGTTTCAAAGCATGTACCACTTCAATACCTAAATGAAAGGTTTAACTAAAACACTTTAACGATTTAAAACGCGATATATTAGTTAAACTTATTTGAAAATGATTTTTAACTTCGGCCCAACGTTTCGGATGCTTTGCAGCAGCCGCGTTTTAAACCGTTAAAGTGAAAAGATTAGAAACATGTTGGGGATAGAACCCATCGCCCGTTAACTACTGGCCTTACATTGCTACAATTAGAGCAATGAGTCAAAAATTATGTAGTTATATAAATTACATAGAAAACATAGTTGCTAGCTTATATTCTTCTGTTAAATATAGTCGAGCTAGAATATGGAAGTCAGGTCCTAATACGGTCATTAGATTTAACGATAAGCCTTAGTTAAAATCAGTGTTATTCTAATTAGTGGCACAGTTGCAAGGTAAACAATACTACCACTGTCAACATTTAAATAACAAATGGGGCTAAATATTCAACCTTGGAGCACTCCGTCTCAAATTGATTCTTCGTTAATTTATTCTGTGGTCGACTCTGTTTTACGTAATGCTTGTATTTGGTTACCGATGTATCGGAAAGATAATAATCAATAAGTCTATAAATAAGACGTAAAAATGCGTGGTTATCTGTCGTCTATCCTATTACAAATAAAGACTTTTCCACACATTTTTCATTATGCTTAACTGAGGACTTTTATCAAAATCTTTTACGATTAGTTTTCTTTTAGATATACATTTAAATCATTCATATTCCAAGCGAAATAGTTAACCCAGTAAACACGAAAGTTACGTTCGTTTCAGTCTGAAAATTAAGAGACGAAACATAAAAAATATCCAATAAAATTGAAAACCCCAGCGATAATTATAATTTCGAAATATTTCGCAGTGAAATCTATCTTTTATGTATCTCGTTACATTCGAGATCCAACTCCAACAATCCAATTAGATCGAAATGTAAGTAGGTTCGATTCCCGGGAAGTACGTGGTTGTCATAAAACGTTAACGATCCGGTATTGAGCGCAGTTTCAACTGTAGGTTGGGAACTGTTTTACTAGCGTTTTTATGGTCAAATACTCTTTCATCTAC